TACGTGGTCGAACTAACTATGTAGTACTAAACGGTTACAGGTCTGATAACTATATATCCAGTTCTGGCGTTCCACAAGGTTCTCACCGGGGGCCGTGGCTATTTAACGTGTTAATGATTTGGATCAACAAATAAGAAATAGTAAGGTCCTATTATTTGCAGATGACTTAAAGATAGCTAGAGTGATTAATTGTTCCAATGATTCACAGTTTTTACAAGATGATATTGATGGTCTAGTAAATTGGTGTAGCATTAATAATGTGCAGCTCAATCCAACTAAATGTTATCAAATCTCTTTCACACGTAAATTATCTCCATTTAAAATGAAATATAAAATAAATAACGAAGAATTACAGATTGTGGATCTTATTAAAGACTTGGGCATTTTTTTGGATTCTAAACTGACTTTTATTCCCCAAAAGGACCGCATGATAGAGAAAGCTTCAAGGACTTTAGGCTTCATATTAAGAAACAGTAAAACCTTTAAGAACATCACAACTAAAAAAATATTATTTAATACCTATGTCCGCAGAATAATAGAATATGGGAGCGTAATATGGTCACCACAATACAAAGTCCATCAACTACGTATAGAAAGGATACAAAAACGGTTTATGAGGAATCTAGCTTATTGTAGTAATATAAATGACAAAAAACTTGCCGGATATAATGAGAAGTTAAAATTCTTCGGCGTTGACAGCTTGTCAAACCGAAGAAAGTATCTAGACATGGTAATGTTTTATAAAATAGTGCGCGGAACTACGGACAGCGCTGAGCTATTGCGAAAAATAAAATTTAAAGTACCAAGACGTTATCCGCGTAAATCTGTACCTTTGTTCTATCCATTTCCTTCTAAATCTAATCTAGGTCATAACAATAGTTTAGTTAGAATGTCACGCATGCTGAATTTGATGTCGGATTCTGTGGACATTTTTAGCAATTCTTTGTCCTCTTTTAAAAAAACAGTGCTACAGAACTTAAAAGATAATATTTAGGAGTTCGATATGTATTAATTTTGTTATTTGGTTTAATTGATTATTGTGTTTTTTCGCCTGTATTGTTTTAAGGTGTCTCTGTTATTATATTTTTTTAAATATTTTTGGTATTTCTTGGTTTTTGATTTATTTTAAGGTTATGTTTCTAATATTTTGTAATTTATGTTATAAAGTGTTACTCTTCTTGTGAAGCATGTTGTGGCTGCCTTTAATAGGTTTTACATTTAAAAATTAAGCTTATATATTATGTTTTGTGAACATGTATTATTGTAATTACCTCTGGCTGTCCTTAAATAAATAAATAAAAATAAAAATAAAATAAAATATTCAAAAAAATATAATTAAAATGTAATTGTGACATAATGTTACATAATATTATATTAAATAATTACAATCTAAATAAAAAGTTATTACGCACTGATCATTGTACCTACGTATAATCTATGATGACAAAAACTGACCGCGCAGGCGCAACGCGCTTATATCACCCGCGCATGCGCGACGACATTTTTTGTTTGGAATAGCTTTTCGAGTATAACCTGTCGGAAATATCTGCGAACCTGGCTTGATGACGTCATGCAATATGGAGAGATGGCAACGGTACTGGATAGACGATAACGGGCGGAAATATCCGCGAACCTGGCTTGATGACGTCATGCAATATGGAGAGATGGCAACGGTACTGGATAGACGATAACGGGCGGAGGTGCGGGGAAGCGCGAGGGGAAGCGCATTCCAGCGAGGTTCGCAGATATTTCCGACAGGTTATACGTAGTACTTATAACTCAATGATTCCGCAATAATTTTGTCCAAGCATACTCACACGATTTAATAGCCTTTTATGTGGTATTAGATAAAACTAAATAGCAACTCTAAAGAAATTTTTCAGTTGGAATGCCTATTTCAGTAAATGGGACAGCTGTCAAAAGTATTTCTTAGATTTGGTGGAGTATAATGGGCGAGCTCCATGTCACTTACGTCGCTGAGATACTCAAGATAGCACAGCAATTGATAAATATTATATTTATTTCTGGAGTAAAGAAAGACTGAATAATTAAAAACTTACAGAATATTCTAAAAAAGATATTACAGAAAAAGCACCGTTGTATGGGCCTTGAGTGCGTCAAGTTATTTGCAACGTCGATAAATGCTTGTTAGTCGTAATATCGTCGTTTTGAAATTTTGCCAGTTAATCTTCAAGTCTATACAAGAAATTAAAAAAAATGATCCATTAAAAATCACTTTATTTATATTTCTGAAAAACTAAGGTTAAATATATATTGATTGCTTTCGTTACAACACCTGTTACATTCTGATAATATTTCCGTACTGTAACTTTATCATTATTATTAATCTTAAATTACATAGCATTGAGAAATTCATATAAATATATCTTCTCAATTGATTTTCTTGGTTTTATTAGCCGAATGTTCTATGAACACCATTTACAAAATTCAACACAGGTAGTCTAATTTTCCGATTGACAATTTCTATCGTACTTACTTTCTAAAACTGTTATAATAAAAGAAGAATAATACCTTTCTGCCTTGTTTTCTGTCTATTTTAATAGAACTTTAATTTACCACATAATATTATGGTCTTTACATATTATTGTTTAAACTTTTTTGAAGTGTCCTTTTTTGGCGCATAAGGCCGTATACAGAAAGAAAGCTGGCAGCCTATCAGCGCTTATAGGGTCCGGACCACGCAGGTAACCGGCGCAGGCATTTATACGAAAAGGCGCCGATAAGCGCCGAACGTCGCCTACAAGTTTCGACAATCTTCGACACGCGTCGGACAGCGCTGGCGCCGCCCGCCATTTAAAATTAATGAACAACTATACGACAACACGTAGTTATACGTGTTGTCGTATAGTTGTTCATTAATTTTATACGACACGCATATATTTTTTTGAATAGAGAAATGAATAGTGACGTGTTGATTGTACGGAAGACGGCATATAAAGGGTACACTTAGGTACATACTTTTTAAAATCGCTCTTATTACAAAATTATAAGGTCGGTACAAATCTCGAAGTGTTACGTTACGCTTGATTTGCTGTTTACTGTACAAGTGTATGTTTAAACCACGTTGAAACCTTTTAAATTATTATTTATTACAGAGCTTTACAGTTCTAAGGCGAATATTTTGTAAAAATTGACTAATGGACAAATAAAATTATCTTTTCTTAAACATTTTTTTTATCATAATCTTTTTATAAATCTAATAACTTTATCTTTTAATAAATATATTATTTTTCAAGCGATAAATATATTTTTCGTATTTAGTCTTTCTTCTGGAAGGATTGGTTGTTTATGCCAATTACTCCAAAATGTAATAAAATGTTTCTTGAGTCATTCTTGTATATCTATATAATTTTTGATCATCAAATTTCAATTGTTTTATAAATAAATGATGGTATTCTCCGAAACGTTTCCTTTCTCTATTAATAGGATGTATAGCTTATTTTCGCGTTTTAAATTACACATTTTCTAACAAAACTAATTCATCGTCCGATGAGTACGACATTTTGCTCGCTCTGCTTCAATCGGTTGCTTTATGTAACTGTTACCAGAATAGACCAGCGCCGATAAGCGCTGGCAGATCGGCGCTGGCTGCCGGCTTCCTTTCTGTATACGGCCTAACGTAGGTATTTTAAGTTCAGTTCCCTGGATTTTACTTAAATCTCTCTGTTGCATTAATCTGTACTCTTATTTTCACCTCGCTATTAGGATGTCTTTTTTCTGCTTACAGTAGTCCAGATTTATTCCTTTTCAAATTTTTCTCTCCTCAGTTGTTATAAATTTTCTATTTTTTTTTCGTTTGTTTTCTTATTCATGTTTATTGTCGTGGGCTTTGTGGGTTTTGTGGCCACACTTTCGTACTTTTGTGCATCACATCGTTGCAAATCGAGTTGTTTTTGTCTTGCGTATTGGCTGCTACTGTTTCTATTTCAATAAATTGACCTTGGAGAAGTGCATATATTTTCCTGGTTCATCCAACCGACGTGTCCAAGTGACAATTCCACAGATTTTTAAGGAGTTTACTCTCGCTAGACATCGTTGGGAATTCATTTGATTTGTGATGGTTACCTTGTTACGAAACTACTTGGTGTAAAAGTTTTATTCGTGAATTCCTTATCGCCGTATTAGAATAATCCGTCTGTGAAACAGTGCAGGAAATGTCTAGTTATTTTTGTTACCGTTACCGTTACCGCTAGAGCCTATTAAAGTCCACTGCTGAACATAGCCTTTCCCTATAGATTGCCTCATAGGGAGGTTATTTGCTTTAGTTGCTACGCTTGGCTAACGGGTTGGCAACTGTAGTTTTTTTATTTTTAGTCGTTATAAGGAAGCGTCTCCTGATTTGTTTCACTCTGGTGGATATTCTTATACTGCCACTACACGGAGTTATTTGTGTATTCTTGTGTAAAACTTTAAATTTCTTACGGTGATACAGCTTCTAGAATTTTCGTAGAAGCTCCATATGTAAAATATTATAAATAATGACATTGTAGTTGTTATATTTAGGCCCCATTTAGAATAAATAAGAACTATCAATAAGTTAAAAGCCGCCACATTTGCATATTAATTGTAAATACTTCCATACTCTCGCAGATGCGGGTAGTAAAAAAAGATGATTAATTGACTACTTAAAACTATGACGTCATATTCAGTTTACACAATCATATTCTCGTATATTTCTTAACAAAAGTTTCGTTTTGACAGCTTGTAAAAAGTATGTATTTCAATTTTAGACATTAAGCGTCAACTATCCCGTTAAAATGTTAAACTACCTGAACTAAACATTATGTCTCATATTTGCTAGTTGTGATTGTGATTAATGTCGAATTATGTTTCATGTTTATTAAAAATATAGTGATGCTTAGTTTTATTTTATTACAATTATTAAAGTATGTTACAGTTAGTTAACTAAAATGAAATAACAGTCTTTATTTAGCATAACATGCTAATGTATTTTATGTTTTGTTTTTTTTTTTTATTAGCAAGAAAATGAAGATCGACAAAGATAAACTACGCAAACGGAAGCGCTCCTCGTCCACTCTCTCATCGCTCTCGGAAAGTGACTCAGATGCGAAAAAGAAAAAGAAATCGCTCAAGAAGAAGGCAAGTAGTCGTTCGATTGTTTACGAATATATACTTACAATTTTTATGTGTTTTTATTTAGAAATGTAACCTGTAAGGTATATTTAGAAATTTATGAATTCTCTTTATATATTCTATAAAAAAAATATAACCCATTTGTTATTGTATACGGTTTATTTAAAAAAAATCTTAAATATATTTTTGACGTAGAATAACTGAATTAATGAAAAAGGCAATACACGCTCTAATTCCTCCCTCTTCTTTCCACCATCGGACAACCAGGTGGTCGGCGGGTCTTCATCCCTTTGTTGTCGATATTCCACGCATTAGAACCAAACGGTTTGCTTCGTCTTTTGTAATGCGTACAGCAAAGGAGTGGAATAATTTGCCGGCGTCTATCTTTCCGTCCAAATACAATCTGGGCGTCTTCAAGACAAGAGCGAATAGGCGTCACCACTTACCACCAGGTGGGATTGTGGTCAAGCACTGGCTTATAATAAGTAATATCTAAACATTCTTTACATTTGTAAAAGGGTTCATCTTTAGAAACTGCACTTCTTGTTAATATGTATCAAACATTAGTTATATGTGGTAATGCAATGTTGCAGCTATATTATGTAGTATAGTATGTTGTAGCACGAATGACCGGCGAAGGCCCACACTCTTACATAATACCAGCGTAAAAGTAGCAGCTTAATGCTGCAGCTGCTGTGTTTCGTATGGTGAGTGTAGAGAACCGGAGACCCATTTCACTGGAAAAGAGGCATTCTGTTTTAGTCCTCACGGGTGACATTTGCATTTGCATTTTGATTTGTTATCGAGGATAGATGTAGATATCTATGGGCCACAGCATCCACTTACCATCAGGTGGACTGTGTGTTTGTCATCCTTATTTTATAAAAAATGAACTTGACTGTATTTCAACAGAAACACGCGAATGTGTGCAGCAACTCCTATTGTGCAATGACGCTTTGCGCCAACTTCTAAGCCAACATTAGGTTTGGATCGCACTGTGCCATCAGTTGTACTGATAGCTCGTATTTTACTGTATACCTTTATATAAAAATTACGTGTCACATTGTTTGTCCGCGATGAACTCCTAAACTACTAAACTGATTGCAATGAAATTTTGAACACTGTGTGCAGTTTGCTCTAACTTAGAGATAGAATAGTTTTTATTCCTATAAGTGACCCTTAATATTTTTTATTACGAATTTAAAAATTTTTATAGGACACAGTGTCGTCGGAGAGGGCAGAACAACGTCTGCCTGGCCGGCTAGTTTATTATAAAATTTAACATTAAATTTATTTAAAAAAAAATTATAAATTTATTCTAATTGTTGCAGGCTCTCAAAAAATCGAAATCGAAATCGGCGAAGCGGCGCCGCATCGGAAAAAAGCTTTTGAGGAAGTTGAAAGAGAAGGAAAAAAAGAAGAAGAAACAAAGCAAAGCAGAAAGGTTGGACGACTCAGATGAATCGGATGATGATGATGAGGATGATAGTGGTAAGCATTTTATTGCCTTATCTGTTGCATAAGGTAGTTAATAAAATCGTTAAGGGGATATCTTGACGGCGTTTAGTCCATACACTGACATAGTTTTTTACTTGAACGATGACTCAATCTACTGTAATGTTCCTTTGTTTAGTTTTTTTAAATGAATTTAATTAAATGAATTATTTTGAAAACCATGACCTTAAAAATGAAAAAAAAAAGTATTAAGACATCATTTGTCTTAGTTTAAAAGTAAAACGGGACAGTTGTGAAAGAGGAAACAGGATTACGGGATGAGATTTCGCCTGTTTGAATTATGAATTTTTATAGTTATAATCAGCCCCGCGCTCCAGTTATGTACGTCTCTAGGTTGTTAAGCTTGGTCTGTCTAGATTGTAAAAATTATTTTTTAATTTTTTTTTTCACTCCTCTTATTAGTGTTTCAGAATTTTGATTTCCACTTTAAATGCAATTAAATTCTATTGTTAATGTATAAATAAGATAGATCGGGGATTGAATACCGGTACCAATTTCATTTATGGTTCTTCATTTAGGTTCTTATAAAGGTTCCTCTTTTTGGTACGGTTCCAGTTCCGGTATCGGTTACGGTTTAGGTTCCGATGTACCGGTTCTAAGTACCGGTTCCGAGAACCTTTAATCAAATTTCTCCAAATCCGTAGATTAACATAAAAAACCGTAGATGCTATTTCAAAATATCCGTTCCGTTGAGGATCGACAATTTTTGTTTTTGAACTTGGTTCAAAAATTATTTTTGTCATGGAAAATTCTTGTTGTAAGTTTAATTGTAGTATAAAATCGAATCAAGCTGCACATGTAAGAAAAAAGTACCATAAGAATTGATTGTTTTCTTTTAATGAAATAATTTTTAGTAAAAAACAAATACACACTTTAATATTTGTAGATAGTAATACTAATAAAATACGTTACAAACTTGATTATAACGACTTATTAACATAGATTTTATTTTCTGGTTTTTGTTAGTTTATTTGATCTATTACGGTGTTTCTGACTCGGGTGATTTATGTAACAATGTAAAACTTACAACTTTGAGAAATTCGAAGAAAAAATATAGATTAAAAGCGAAGACTTATTCGGCAGAATTTTTTTTTAATAATTGTAAAAACAATTGGGACAGCATGGATAAAAAAATTTGAGACATAAGTGATAATACAATCATCTATAAAAAAATTATAAGTGCTTATATTTACTGCCTATTTTCCAAGAAGTGTTCTACATTCGAAATAAACGTAATTTAATACAAAATATCTAAGCTATTAAAAGGAGAATGCCAGATCGTGCCCCACCTTGTACAAGATAGTTAAAAATATGAAAAATAATCTTATGAATTTTGAAGTTTTTTGTGATAAATCGTTATTTTGTACAAGTTGCGGTAAGATATTATTTAAAAAAGAAATTCAACGATTAATACTGTAAGTATTTCCAGTCTTTTCTAATAAAATCTGCGTTTTTTTTTGTACGAATAAGTACATACGTATGCATAAAGTATCAAACGATACATATTTCTATTAAAATATATTAAAAGTCTTTGTCATATAAAAATGTTACTTATCAATTTTTATTTTTAATTATTATTATAAGTTGATAATAATCATGAATTGCATTAGATGATTACTGAATAACAATCATTGATTTTCGTGCATTTTGTAAAATAATACACACACGTTATTGTGACAGTAACGTGTGTGTACGTACTAACGTCAAATTAATGTCGAATATTTTGACTAATTGACTAATTTGTGATTGAAATATATTGATTATATCACTTTTTTACTTGTGCTGATTCCAGCTTTCTTTACCGTTGCACTTTTTCCTGCTTATGCTGCCGACTTATGCTTTTATTAATATACGGTCTCGATTTATCCTACTTATTGACTTACTGCTAATAACTACGGACTGATAATTTCATCCACGACGTTGAGGTGCACTAATTGTTATCTTTGCGTGGATATGATGTAGGGGCATTTTGTGTCCTCATTTAGATTTACAATCTAACTGTTCATTCAACATGGAGATCTTTGCAACAAAAATATATTTAGTTTTATAGCTTTTTTATATAGTTGATAATTTATGGTCCTGCCGTTGTCGTGAAATTAGTTACTAATCTGTAAATATTTACACCTTCTTCAAACACATATGTATCTTGAAAAATAATTTTGTAAATAATATAACTCGTTTACATGACTAGGAAATAGATTTTATGAAAAACAGGTGGTGCTAGTATATAGAGCACTGCTGCCTGAGATACAAGCTCAATGCTTAGTTCAGGCGCAGATGCAAATGTATGTTTTTGAAAAGAAATTTCTGAATAAAGAAATTATTATTAAAAAAAATATTTTGTAAGGACCTTAAAGGTTTTATACAAGAGAACCCTTTTCCCAATGTTACTGATCGTTATATTATTATGCTCCTTAAATTCTTACATTTTTATTTAGATATATCATTAGCGCCTGAGAATTTATATTCTAAAATTACAATGAACTGTAAATAAGATAAACGTAATTATTAAAAATCCAGTTAAAAAAAATCGCAAGTTCTAGAGACTTCAAATTGTAAAATTTGAATGGAGTAATAAATATAATAGTAATAGTAGCCTAATGGCAGGGCGCGGACCGCGAACTCGAAAGTTCGTGGGTTCGAATCCGCCATACGACTACTGTTGTGAAACACTTCTAACACAAGCATTTTAAGCTTACCAGAAGTGGTTAAAGAGAGTACTAGTAATGTTTAATAGCATTACTAGTATTTAAAAAAATATTGCATACGGCATTCGTGTACACCACACTTTTGGGTGAGGCAAAGTTCGATCGAGAATCTGGCATTCTCCTTTGAAATTGATTAACCTCACAAAAATTTGATATTTATGAGCATAAATGGTTTTATTTTAATACAGATAGCATAGAATTAATTATTAAATATCGTTATATTAATTATTAAATAATACAGATAACATAGAAGAAGAGAGAGAGAATGACATTATCGGCAAGTTCACACTCATGATAAGAAGAATATTGTTAAGTTTCTACATGTGTAGAAAGAATGAATGAGGAAAGAGTGACAAAGCAAATCTATGTTGCAGAGGTGAACGGCATAGTCGGGAAGGGTCGCCCTAGGCGAAAGTTTATCGACCAAATTGGCGATATATTAAAATGGGCCATATCAAGAGTACCTTTAACCGACGAGCGTGTATGCGTAGGTATATGGATGTGGAGGAAGCGAGAGAGGTGTGTCAGGATCGTGCCAAATGGAAGTCCATAATCTCTGCCTACCCCTCTGGGTGATAGGCGTGAGTGTTTTATGTTAAGTTTATAAAAATTCCGTAGATTACAACCTCAAATTCCGTAGTTCCGTAGATGACGACAAAATTCCGTAGTTCTACGGAAAAATCCGTAGAGTTTGCAACGCTGCGTTGATATGCAACAGAAGATCCACCAATACAAATGTGATGTTTTACAAACTCCCCTCTCCTCACACCCCGCCGCGTGCCGCATCACGCCGTTCACCCTACCGCACCTCAAACTTACTTTTTTTTTGTTTGCTTAGGAACCGGTAAAATAAAGGTTCTTAAATGTTCCAATTTAGGTTCTGGTTCCTGTTCCGGTATAGGTACCGAAACCCCTAAATACCTGTTCTATACCGGTATTTTGGAACCGTTTTCAATCCCTGATAGTATATCTTTCATTATAAGAAACCATACGCAATTTTTTGATATGTTCATACAGTTTATATAAGTTTCGTTTCGATTGAAAATATGAATTATTCCATTTACATTCAGCAGCCGTTTTGTTATAAATCTATATAAATATAGTGCCACAATAAAAAATTAACATATTTTAGCATTGCATTTTTAAGTTGTAGCTATTATATTTAAGACGTAAGTTCCTAATTTTTGACAGGAAAGTGAACTAAAAAAAAGAATATTACGTAAAAAAAGCACTTAGCAAAACTAAAGAAAAGAAGTGTATTAATAACAGTTATCTTGTGCGCGAAATAGACACAATAGTTAAACAATAGAAATATTCATATATGATTCAGCAAGGAAAGGGGAAAGGGTTAGGTTAGTATAAATTATGCCTATTGCTCACGATTATGGGCAGCGACATCGTCCTGATAACTTGAAATAAAAAAAAATTGCTGTTTCCAACCCCCTTGGCAAGCGTGGCAAATTTGCTTGCTATCCCCTGTTTAAGGCAATATGGGAGAGGAAGGTCTATGTTCAGTATTGGACTTGAGAAAGGCTTTAATGAATATATAAAAAATTGGGCTGTATTCATTGCGTAAATATATATTGGATGAATAAAAGCATCTATAAATGTTTTAATTACTAATACTTTTTAAACAGATAAGAAAAGTAGTAAAAAGTCTAAGAAAAAGAAACAACAAAAATTAAAAAAGAAGAAGAGCCTGAAGCGGAAAAAGAAGGAAGTGTCTTCATCCAGCTCGACATCCTCAAGCAGTGATAGCAGCTCCGACGAATATGAAAGGAGAGCTAAGAAATCTAAAAAAGCAGAAGCTAAGAAGAAAAAAGTGAAGAGACGTAAAAGAAAGAGCTCTTCATCGGAGTCCGCTCAAAGCGAAGATCTTTTTGACGTCAACATTCTGAACAATATAAAGACGGAGCGTTTGACCGATGACGAGAAGACAAAGTCCTTAATGGACTTCTCTCCTAGGAGACAGCAAAAACCGCGGGAGATAATAAATGTGAAAGAGCTGCAAAATGATTTTGTTGGTAATAATATACACATAAAGAAAGAAGTAGAGGAGGATATTCCAAAAGTGACAGTGCCTGAAACCCAAAAAGTAAAAGAAGTAAATGGTAACGATGTGAGTGTGGAAGTTCCGGTCAAGGAGGCCGAAACTATTGACGAAAAGAGGAAGAAAGAGGAAAATAAAGCAGAAGCAACATTTTGTCAAACCGCAACTATTGAAGAAAGGGAGAAGAAGGAAGAAAATAAAGTAAAGGTAACATTTGTCAATCTTCTTGCGCCAATTTATGAATTTCTAGAATTTATTTTTCTACTTTATATAGTTTTATCATAACCAAAGTTATAAAAAATATTGTGTGGTAGCGGAGTAAAAGAAACCATCTCTCTATTTCTCTGAAGATTTTAGAACAGTCCACCACGAAACATGTCTGAAATATGTTAAGGCATCCGAAAGACTTTGAGATGATTATCTCAAAAATTGTCTGGTAAATATTGTGGCCGGTGTAGGAGGGTCACGTCTTAAGGGCGAGGGGTTTGATATTACAATGATACGCCTGTCAATAATGACGATTACGACAAATCAAACAAACAAATGAGAAAGGTTGCCGTGTAGTGACGGCGTAAGACTACCCCATCTCACCCATTGGTGTGGCAAGAGAAGACAAAGGGAAAGTGAAGCCAATTTGCCTGCCAAGCTTGTCAACTATAGCAAAAATAACCCCTATGAAAAGTCTATGTGACTCATGAACGAATGGGGGAATTATGCTTGCTGTATAACATGCTGGAGGTTAAAAAGTGATTTGACAGCTGTAAGCGAGTTGGCTATCACCATCATTTTCATTTCAATTCCCGTGTAGTGACTGCTAGGAATTCCCACTACCCCATATCTTCCTGTGGGTGTCGTAAGAGGCAACAGAGGAAAACTGAGGCAGAAGATGTGCAGCAGCATCTTTCTAATAACAGCAAAACAACAATTAAAAAACTGCGGTTGCCAACCAGCTCGCAAAGCGTGGCAACTATGGCAATACACCCCCCATGATTAACCTTACGAAGAGGCCCCCAGTCCCCGGCGGCCCCGCTATTCCTGGCTACAGTAGCGAGCATGGTAACGGCGGGGCAGGTGGTGCTGAAAGAATCTCCAGTGGAGGTTCGGTTGTCACCTAAGACGACTCGACCTGACAACATATAACGCACGCACCCTGCGAACTGACGAGAAGATCCTGAAGCTGGAAGAAGGGCTAGACAAGTTGCGATGGAATATTATAAGATTATCTGAGGTCCGAAGACAGGGAGAGGACATGGACTCGAATCCGGCAACTTGGTCTATCACCGGGAGGGCGACCATCTGTCCCTAGGAGGTGTCGGATTCATCGTCCACAAGGCTCTAGTTAACAACGTCGACACACTTAATCTTTACAAGATTGAGAGTGTGTCGACGAGGGTTGCGTACCTTATACTCAGAATCACTAAACGGTATTCGCTGAAGGTCATACAGGCTTACGCACCAACCTGGCACATTCCGATAAGGAGGTGGAGGAAATGTATATATATTAATAAGGATATATCTAGAGCCATGCATTCCTCCAAAATCCACTATACGGTGTTAATGGGAGACTTCAACGCAAAACTAGGCATAAGAGAGAACGGCGAGCTAAGGGTAAGAACATTTGGAATAGGGCAACGGAACCCAAGGGGCCAGCAACTGGCCGACTTTTTGGAGAAAGAGGGACTCTTTATGATGAACTCTTTCTTCCAGAAGAAAGAGTTCATCATGAAGAGTCATAAGGAAGTGGACCTGGTCGAGCCCCGACGGTTGACAAAAAATGAGATTCACTTAATTATGACGAACAGACGACAACTGTTCAGTGATGTCTCAGTGATCGCGAGGGTGAAAACCGGCAACAACCACCGAATGGTGGAGGCACACTGAACCTAAACGTAAGAAGTTGAAGAGGTCATGTCTAATGAAGTCAACGCTCCGTTCACCTCGTGCTCTAATCCAAAGTCCCGAAACCTTTCAGCTCGAGCTACAAAACCGTTTTCAGTGCCTAGAAGTTTGCAATGCTGTGGACGATATGAATGACAAGCTCGTGGAAACTGTCCATGACCCGCCGCAGAAGACCACAAAAACTCTCCGAGCACACTCTTAATCTCATGGCTGTTAGACGGGAAATGAAGCTGCAGTCTTCAGTAGATTTGACAGCATACAGGCAACTGAACAGACAGATCTCCAAAATCTTGCGACAGAACTTACGCAACTTTAATACTGCTTGTGTTGAAGAAGCGATCGAGCGGAACCAGGGCTTAAGTCTTTGCTAGAGATCTGTCTGCCAGAAAGAGCCAACTGTCGAAGCTGAAGACCGAGTGTGGCAGCGTCGTTTCCGGGACACCTGAGATTTTGAGTGAGGTTGAGATGTTCTATGGGCAGCTGTACACATCATCGTGGAGTCACACGCCAAGAGCAAGTCTCATATGACATTATACAGATGATATTCCGGACGTCAGTCTGCGCGAAATTAGAATGGCTCTCCAGCACCTTAAAAACGACAAGGCCCCAGGCGAGGACGAATTACAGCGGGGAGCTTATGAAAGCGGGTGGAAAACCGGTACTACAAGTACCTTCAGAAGCTCATGAATTCCGTTCTCCATGGTACTCCGGAGGCGTGGAGCAAAAGTGCGGTGCTCTTATTCCTCAAGAAAGGCGACAAGGCTCTCTTGAAGTAATACAGACCGATTTTCCTTCTGTGGCGCGTCTACGTGTTGTTTTCGAGAGTCATTACGAATCGTCGCATGCAGACTCGACTACTTCCAGCCTACCGAACAAGCCGGTTTCCGATAAGGCTTTAGCACCATAGACCACATACATACCCTTCGGCAAATTGTACAGAAGTCCGAGGAGTACAATTTGCCACTATGCCTGGCGTATGTGGACTATGAGAAATACTGATTCTGTCGAAATTTGGGCGGTGCTGCAGTCCCTTCAGCGGTGCCAAGTTGACTTTCGGTATATCGAAATGTTGAAGTGGTTGTACAGTAGGGCTTGCGGGTATCATCAATAAAGTAAATAGACTTTAGAATCAAAGAGTGCCTATATGTTTTCGCGTACAACTTTCGACACTGTTCTCGCTGCTGAAATATCACTGGATTGTCAACATTTTCATCATTATGATGAAAATAATGAATCACAATCTGCTGATCGAATGTGTTCTTTTTGTTAGATTACTTTGAAAAAAATATTTATAATTATTCATTTGAATTTTACTAAAAGTGTAGCATACATTTGTTACAGGAATCACAAGAAGTTGTCACACCTATCTCTGTAGAAATATCAACAAGCCCTCAAATAGTTCCACCTGTCCCTCAAATGGTTCAATCAGTTCCACAAATGGTTCCAAAAGTCTCTCAAACGGTTCCAACAGCGCCTCAAATGGTTCCAACAGTTCCTCAAATGATTCCAACAATATCTCAAAAAGCCCCAACAACCGTCCCACAAATGGTTCCAACTGTCCCTCAAATGGTTTCAACAGTCCCTCAAATGATTCCAACAATTGTGCAAACACCTTCAAACATTGAAGTAATTTCAACGATCTCGCAAATAAATACAGCAATTTCTAAAACTATTTCAACAGTCCCTCAGATGGTTCCAGCAATATCTCAAAAACCTTCAACAATCTCGCAAACAATTCCAACAATCATACAAAAAACTTCAAACATTGAAATAATTCCAACAGTTTCGCAAATAACTACAATTCCACAAATAACTAGAACAGATTTCCAAGTAACTCCACAAAACTCGTTAATATCTCCAACAAACTCTCAAATAACTCCAACAATGATTCAAACAACGATTTCCCAAATAAAGCCAGTTATGGATGAATCAAATATGTCCCAATGCTCCTCACAAGAGTCCGTTTGCAGTGTGAAGCCTTATGAGAAAGATGACAGTCATTTGCGCCCTTCCTCACAAAATTCCAACTACAGTTTTAACGATGTGATCAACGCAAGCCAAAGTGGACTTTATCAGAAATCAATAGAGCCAGTTATGGAGTGCGACGATAAGTTTCATGAGAACTACCAACAAGATTATGAAATGTATGAACATTTGGCAATGGCTTATCAAAGTGACGTCGCAAGTCAGGTAATTTTTATCTTCAATTTTTTTTTAAACCATTAATATTGTAGTAATCATTGATTTATTATAAACTAACGTTAGAATACGTTGGCAATGTAAAAGATTAAGAGTACGGTGTACGCGTATGTTACACGAGACCATTCATTTACACAACAGACAAACGTATCTTCGTCTGTTCATACGTAGCCTTTTAAATTCGAAACCATCTTTTTGAATTAGCCGTAGTCGGTTAAAAATATTCATTTGACTTAGAAATCAGAAGCAGCTCTATATGTGTCTCACATATGCACATTTCAAGCACACTGGTGTATTTTGACTTTGGTTTCGCCCTAATTACTCCCATCGCCAATCTAGTGTATACTAATATCTAGTAGCAATATAATATAATATATTTTTTGTATATTTGGTTGACGACTTAAAAAACACATAAAAAAATAGTTTCTTCTTGAATAAAAAATATATTTTATAATATAGATTAACAAGTGGATCCATTTTTTACCTTCATGTCTCAGAGTTCGTTTGTCGGGTGTATTTTTTTTTATAATAAGGGTAAGCGGTTACTATGACCCATAAACATGTACATCTGTCCTCGATTACGAATCAAAATGCAGATGCGTTGTCACCTTGTCACCCGTGAGGACTTACATGGAATGCCTCGTTTCCAGTAAAAAGGGTCTCCGGTTCTCTACACTCATACAAAACACAGCAGTATTAAGCTGCTGCTCTAGCTGGTATTCTGTGAGAGCGTGGTTTTCCTCGGCCGAGCCGTTAGTGCCATTAGTGCTAGAACCATTATATAGCTCCAGCGTGGCTCATCAAGTGGCTATAAAATAATACGGGCCTGCAACGTTCCTGTCGCGTATAGATCACCATTTATAGGTTTTGTTAACCCCCGACGAAAACAGAGGCGTATTATTATATTGTGTTTGTAGTGTATCTGCCTATCTGTATATCTGTGAATGGATGAATCGATTTTGATTAAGTATTTTTCGTTTGAAAGGTGTCTTAATCGAGAGGCTTCTTAGCTATGTTTCAAGATAATCTGTTCTGCCGTTTGAAGATCACCAGCTCTTTTTGTTTCGGGGTTTTTTTTTAAATTTAAATAATTATAAGTTTTGTTTTGATGCAGCAAGCGTCGCCGCCGGGATCGTCGGAAGCGGGCGAGCAGCGCATCGAGACGGTGGTACGCGCGCGCAGCCGCGGCGAGATCAAGTGCGACTGGCGCGCCGGGCACTCCCCCGCGCCCGCGCCGCTGCCCCCCGCCGCGCGCCCCGCACGCCCCTCGCGCTGGGGTACGTACAAGCTGTGTGCCATCAGACGGTGGTGCGGCGAGGTCAAGTGCGACTGGCGCGCCGGGCACTCCCCCGCGCCCGCGCCGCTGCCCCCCGCCGCGCGCCCCTCGCGCTGGGGTACGTACAAGCTGTGTGCCATCAGACGGTGGTGCGGCGAGGTCAAGTGCGACTGGCGCGCCGGGCACTCCCCCGCGCCCGCGCCGCTGCCCCCCGCCGCGCGCCCCGCACGCCCCTCGCGCTGGGGTACGTACAAGCTGTGTGCCATCAGACGGTGGTGCGGCGAGGTCAAGTGCGACTGGCGCGCCGGGCACTCCCCCGCGCCCGCGCCGCTGCCCCCCGCCGCGCGCCCCGCACGCCCCTCGCGCTGGGGTACGTACAAGCTGTGTGCCATCAGACGGTGGTGCGGCGAGGTCAAGTGCGACTGGCGCGCCGGGCACTCCCCCGCGTCCGCGCCGCTGCCCCCCGCCGCGCGCCCCTCGCGCTGGGGTACGTACAAGCTGTGTGCCATCAGGCGGTGGTGCGGCGAGGTCAAGTGCGACTGGCGCGCCGGGCACTCCCCCGCGCCCGCGCCGCTGCCCCCCGCCGCGCGCCCCGCACGCCCCTCGCGCTGGGGTACGTACAAGCTGTGTGCCATCAGACGGTGGTGCGGCGAGGTCAAGTGCGACTGGCGCGCCGGGCACTCCCCCGCGCCCGCGCCGCTGCCCCCCGCCGCGCGCCCCGCACGCCCCTCGCGCTGGGGTACGTACAAGCTGTGTGCCATCAGACGGTGGTGCGGCGAGGTCAAGTGCGACTGGCGCGCCGGGCACTCCCCCGCGCCCGCGCCGCTGCCCCCCGCCGCGCGCCCCGCACGCCCCTCGCGCTGGGGTACGTACAAGCTGTGTGCCATCAGACGGTGGTGCGGCGAGGTCAAGTGCGACTGGCGCGCCGGGCACTCCCCCGCGCCCGCGCCGCTGCCCCCCGCCGCGCCGCTGCCCCCCGCCGCGCGCCCCGCACGCCCCTCGCGCTGGGGTACGTACAAGCTGTGTGCCATCAGACGGTGGTGCGGCGAGGTCAAGTGCGACTGGCGCGCCGGGCACTCCCCCGCGTCCGCGCCGCTGCCCCCCGCCGCGCGCCCCGCACGCCCCTCGCGCTGGGGTACGTACAAGCTGTGTGCCATCAGACGGTGGTGCGGCGAGGTCAAGTGCGACTGGCGCGCCGGGCACTCCCCCGCGCCCGCGCCGCTGCCCCCCGCCGCGCGCCCCGCACGACCCTCGCGCTGGGGTACGTACAAGCTGTGTGCCATCAGACGGTGGTGCGGCGAGGTCAAGTGCGACTGGCGCGCCGGGCACTCCCCCGCGCCCGCGCCGCTGCCCCCCGCCGCGCGCCCCGCACGCCCCTCGCGCTGGGGTACGTACAAGCTGTGTGCCATCAGACGGTGGTGCGGCGAGGTCAAGTGCGACTGGCGCGCCGGGCACTCCCCCGCGTCCGCGCCGCTGCCCCCCGCCGCGCGCCCCTCGCGCTGGGGTACGTACAAGCTGTGTGCCATCAGACGGTGGTGCGGCGAGGTCAAGTGCGACTGGCGCGCCGGGCACTCCCCCGCGCCCGCGCCGCTGCCCCCCGCCGCTGCCCCCCGCCGCGCGCCCCGCACGCCCCTCGCGCTGGGGTACGTACAAGCTGTGTGCCATCAGGCGGTGGTGCGGCGAGGTCAAGTGCGACTGGCGCGCCGGGCACTCCCCCGCGCCCGCGCCGCTGCCCCCCGCCGCGCGCCCCGCACGCCCCTCGCGCTGGGGTACGTACAAGCTGTGTGCCATCAGACGGTGGTGCGGCGAGGTCAAGTGCGACTGGCGCGCCGGGCACTCCCCCGCGCCCGCGCCGCTGCCCCCCGCCGCGCGCCCCGCACGCCCCTCGCGCTGGGGTACGTACAAGCTGTGTGCCATCAGACGGTGGTGCGGCGAGGTCAAGTGCGACTGGCGCGCCGGGCACTCCCCCGCGCCCGCGCCGCTGCCCCCCGCCGCGCGCCCCGCACGCCCCTCGCGCTGGGGTACGTACAAGCTGTGTGCCATCAGACGGTGGTGCGGCGAGGTCAAGTGCGACTGGCGCGCCGGGCACTCCCCCGCGCCCGCGCCGCTGCCCCCCGCCGCGCCGCTGCCCCCCGCCGCGCGCCCCGCACGCCCCTCGCGCTGGGGTACGTACAAGCTGTGTGCCATCAGACGGTGGTGCGGCGAGGTCAAGTGCGACTGGCGCGCCGGGCACTCCCCCGCGTCCGCGCCGCTGCCCCCCGCCGCGCGCCCCGCACGCCCCTCGCGCTGGGGTACGTACAAGCTGTGTGCCATCAGACGGTGGTGCGGCGAGGTCAAGTGCGACTGGCGCGCCGGGCACTCCCCCGCGCCCGCGCCGCTGCCCCCCGCCGCGCGCCCCGCACGACCCTCGCGCTGGGGTACGTACAAGCTGTGTGCCATCAGACGGTGGTGCGGCGAGGTCAAGTGCGACTGGCGCGCCGGGCACTCCCCCGCGCCCGCGCCGCTGCCCCCCGCCGCGCGCCCCGCACGCCCCTCGCGCTGGGGTACGTACAAGCTGTGTGCCATCAGACGGTGGTGCGGCGAGGTCAAGTGCGACTGGCGCGCCGGGCACTCCCCCGCGCCCGCGCCGCTGCCCCCCGCCGCGCGCCCCGCACGCCCCTCGCGCTGGGGTACGTACAAGCTGTGTGCCATCAGACGGTGGTGCGGCGAGGTCAAGTGCGACTGGCGCGCCGGGCACTCCCCCGCGCCCGCGCCGCTGCCCCCCGCCGCGCGCCCCGCACGCCCCTCGCGCTGGGGTACGTACAAGCTGTGTGCCATCAGACGGTGGTGCGGCGAGGTCAAGTGCGACTGGCGCGCCGGGCACTCCCCCGCGCCCGCGCCGCTGCCCCCCGCCGCGCGCCCCGCACGCCCCTCGCGCTGGGGTACGTACAAGCTGTGTGCCATCAGACGGTGGTGCGGCGAGGTCAAGTGCGACTGGCGCGCCGGGCACTCCCCCGCGCCCGCGCCGCTGCCCCCCGCCGCGCGCCCCGCACGCCCCTCGCGCTGGGGTACGTACAAGCTGTGTGCCATCAGACGGTGGTGCGGCGAGGTCAAGTGCGACTGGCGCGCCGGGCACTCCCCCGCGCCCGCGCCGCTGCCCCCCGCCGCGCGCCCCGCACGCCCCTCGCGCTGGGGTACGTACAAGCTGTGCGCCATCAGACGGTGGTGCGGCGCGGTCGATAACAACAGTCGCTACTCATCTCAATCTTAAAAACTAAATTCCATCCGGCAAAACGTCGTTTGTTTAAAATTTCGGTAAAAGGATATGTCAAACGAGTTCCCCGTTATTTCTAAAAGAACAATGACAGAACAATAGTTGACAAAAATTATTGCGTATAGAAATAAGTTATATATAAAATGAGTTTTATTATTTTTCTATGATTTTTCAAATGAAAATGTATTTTAATTAAACCACAGAATTAAAAAACTTTTTTGGGAATGTGAAATGACTTAAATCATTTTACTCTATTCAAGTGTTGCCATTTACTATATTCATACTATTTTCGTATACACTTTGTAAGACTATCAAACACAACACACAAACACAACATATTTTTATATTAAGTTATTATTAGTAATATTAAAAATAAAAGTGATATGGTTGAAAATAAGTCTCTTACAAAGAACTTCGTACAATAATACATTATCTCAATCATAGTACTATGTAACAATTTCATTTAATGTTATGGCAACATTAGCTAAATGTCACTGTTTTTTTTTACTGGTTTTACATTTATAGTATGCAAATATATAATAGAGATACAGTAATCTAAAAACTCTCGATTATGTAGGTAGGTACATTATGTTGAGAATGTATTAAGCTAACATCAAATAACCACAGGACATATGACTTTTTTCAAGTAACATAAGACATAACCTAAAAAGGTACAAATCTAAATATCTTGTTTTTGACGCCTTCTCAGCACAAAATTCTTTGAGAGTTATTAAGGGACTGACGCTTAACATTTTAAGATATTTTTGATATATAGACGCCACTATTCCTTCTCAACAAATTTTATGTATAAACGGGGGGATGAGTCGCTCGCGTCCGTAGGCTTCGACCACCTAATCCTAGGCCCACCCTACACGTGTCGCCCGGGTGGTGCTAAACGAGCGACAAAGCCAAAACGACAGACTCGGCTCCTCGCCGTATGGTAGCGGCGTAAAATCTACCACCCCTTAGTTTGCACCATGAGCCAACAATTAAAAGAAATGGCCCCGAGTTCCCCGCGCGGGGCAGGGGTGCGAAGAATCTCCGGGAGAAAAACCGGCGACGAGGTTCGCCACCCGTCACGACTTGTCTCCCGGAGGGGCGAAAAGTGGATTGCGGAGGCCCGTCTGGCTACGCTGAATGTATGTGGAGCAATGAATGATAAGATGGATGAAGTATGCGAAATGATGAATGATAGAGGAATAGATGTGTTATGTGTGAACGAGACGAAACGAAAGGGAAGAGATGTCACTGCACATGGCATGTATACCGCTTACTGGTCTGGAGTAGACGAGACCGAGAGGGCATGCCAGGGAGTCGGTGTCATCCTTTCAGAAAGAATGGGTCAATGTGTGAAAGAGTATGTATGTGATAGCCCAAGGCTGCTATGGATACGAATGAAAGTGGGCTTAAAGAAGTTGTTTGTGCTAGGGGTGTACGCCCCAGATATGTCTAAGCCCACTTATATCCGAGAGCAGTTTTGGGACATGGTAAGGCTGGTGTTGATGAAATGCAAGGAAAATGAAAATATTATTATGTTAGAAGATTTTAATGGAAGGGTTGGGGTGAAGAGGTCTGGTTATGAAAGGATATTAGGAACGTTTGGCGATGAAAGAATAAATGAGAATGGTGAAGACCTCCTCACCGTATGTGTGGAAAAGAATCTTTTTGTGGCGAACACTTTCTTTCGCCATAAGAGGATTCACATGTATACATGGGAAAGAGGGGATGATAGAAGCATGATAGATTTTATAATTGTGGATGAAAGAATGAGGAGCGCAGTGGTAGATACAAGGGTTTACCGGGGGTCCAACGTAGGGACGGATCATTACTTGGTCTTATGCCGAATTAATGGTCTATTCAGACGTTGGCGGCATCGGACATCTGTGTCTACCACTGCGTTACAGCGTATAAGAATAGAGAGGTTACAAGATGAAGGTGTGAAAGAGAAGTATAAATGCAGACTGAGGGAAAATATAAGTGGGTTGAACGAATTATGTATGAATGATTTAGAATTGAAGAATGTATGGAATAATATTAAGAAAGTTTTGTTAGATGCAGCCACCGAAGTATGTGGTGTAAGTAAGAGAACGAATGAAAGGAAAAGTAATACGTTGTGGTGGGATGATGAGGTACTGATGGAAGTTGAAGCAAAGAAGAGAGCATGGCTAGATTTACTAGCAACTAAAGCTGGTAATTCTGGCGGTATGAATGATTAGATTGAAAGAAAAAAGGCAGACTTTAGACGTATAAATAAGAGAGTAAAAGAAGTCGTTGAAAGGAAAAAGCAAGAAAGGATAGATAAGAATGATAGAAGGATATCTGATAACTTCCAGGAAAATATTAAAATGTTCTGGAAGCTCGTAAGAACTGCCAGGGGAAATTCAAAACAGCCTAGAATGAATGCTGTACGAGACGAGAATGGTTGCATGTTGAATGATGAAGTTTCGAATTTAAAGAGATGGAAGGAATACTTTGAAAGCGTGTTTAAGAGTGAAGAGCCGTCTGAAATAAGTGAAATAGAAATTCCGGAAGTAGTGGAAAGAGGTAGGGAGATAAGTGTAGATGAAATAATGAAAGCAATGAAAAGCATGAAAGCAGGTAAGGCAGCCGGATATGATAGAGTATCACTCGAAATACTAAGGGCTGGTGAGGGTGTGGTTGCAGGCCTGCTGTACACCTTGTTTAATTTATGTTGGGAACTGAAGCGGGTACCGGAAGACTGGTGCAAAGCCGTTATAGTCTCAATATATAAGGGAAAGGGGTCGCAGCAGGACTGTAAAAACTACCGTGGTATCAGCTTGCTTAGCATTGTGGGTAAACTGTATGCTAAGGTGTTAATTGAAAGAGTTATGGAAGAAACTGATGGAAAAATTTGGGATGTGCAAGCTGGATTTAGAAAGGGGATGGGGTGTACGGATCAAGTCTTTTCCATGCGCATGATAGCGGAGAAGTTTTTGGCCAAAAACCAGAAAGGTTTTTGTGCGTTCATGGACTTGGAAAAGGCTTATGACAGAGTGGACAGGAATGTGTTATGGCAAACACTGAACTAATTTGGGTTGAGCGCTGGCTTGATACAGGCATTAAGGTCTCTTTATAGGGACTCTAGTGCTTGTGTCAGGATCAACGGGGTCTACTCGGACTGGTTTGGCATTCATAAAGGTGTCAGACAGGGATGTGTGGCTTCTCCGTGGCTGTTTAACCTATTTATGGACAGTTGTTTGCAAACTTTGAAAGTTGAAGAATGTGGGTTGAGAATGGGTGAGTCAACCCTCAAATGCCTTTTGTACGCCGATGATCAAGTCATATTTGCATCGTCGGCGGCCGAGTTCCAAATGATGGTTACTTTAATGAATTGGTCATTGAAAGAAAGGGGTATGAAAGTGAACGCAAGCAAGACGAAAGTGATGGTTTTTGAAAGAGAAGAAAGTAAAACTTTATGTGAAATAAGAATAGAAGGGGAGTTGATTGAGCAAGTGGATGAGTTTGTATATTTGGGATGTTTATTTAGCAGGGATGGTAGATATGATAAGGATATAGAACGACGAGTGAAAGCAGGAAATAGAGTGAATGGGGCTCTACACGCTATTATGAGGAGTCAGAATGTCTCAACTAAGGCACGTATGGCAATTCATAATGCTGTGTTAGTCCCTACTTTAATGTATGGTAGTGAAAGTTGAGTCTGGCAGAAGAAGCATGAGAGTAGAATAAATGCTGTAGAAATGCGTTCCTTAAGGAGTATGCTAGGGCTGAATCTATTCAGATTGACAGAACAGACAGACAGAATGACAGGGTGAGAAATAGTGTGATAAGAGAAGTGTGGTTTGCAAGATGACGTTGTGACAAGGATTAAGAAAGGAATGCTTCGGTGGTTTGGTCATGTAGAAAGAATGAACGAGGAAAGAGTGACATAGCAAATTTATGTTGCAGAAGTGAACGGCAGGGTCGGGAAGGGACGCCCTAGACGAAGGTTTATCGACCAAATCGGCGATACATTAAAAATGGGCCAGATTAGGAGTACCCTTAACCGACGAGCGTGTATGCGTAGATATATGGATGTAAAAGAAGCGAGAGAGGTGTGTCAGGATCGCGCCAAATGGAAGTCCGTAGTCTCTGCCTACCCCTCTGGGTGACAGGCGTGAGTGTTTATGTATGTATTTATGTATAAAAGTCTGCCATTGTTCTTTACGTTGTTTCTGAAAATTTTATGTTGCTGTATCTACTTAGCAATTCTTGTAATTAAATCGAAAGTAGGCAATCCTCTCAACGCGAGTGAGGCTTATTTCTAGCAGTGAATCTTATAAGCCAAGAACGAAGCTTAAGATTCATAAAGTTACTTTTGATACGAAATATGATGTGTGGTTAAGAAAATCCATGACGCAATTTCGTCTCCTGGGAATATTAAGAATCGACTATAGGAAATTCTTGGAAGACCAAGGCTTTAGGCAGCATCACCTCTAATATGGCAAATGTAAAATATTTGAACCGTCGAGAGAAATATCGTCAAGAAATTGAAGGTATTATCATTGCGAATCTGTTTACGGATGGTGATTACGGTAAGTTCTCCATACTATTCAGAAGTACAGTACACTGCTTTGTGCAAACAAACAAAATAAATGATATATTATGATATATATACAATATGATATGATTTATACAATTCCGTACGAACCTCAAACATTGGTTTCTGAACCGAGTGAAGGAGGATCTGCAAGCGGCCCTCACCACATTTGTTTTCTGATTCAGCCACCGACAGTAGCCAACGCTTAACGTTTATGCAGTTTGTACATATTTATCTAAGTAAACACGAAAAAAAAATTAATGGCTTTCATTTTTTTTACAAAAGATAGCTCAACAATATACCTAGTCAGGTCACAAGTATTATCACACAGTAAAAATTTTTCTTTTAGAATGCTGGCCACAAAAAAGTTTATTGAATTCGAATTTCGAATTGTTCATGAAAATAAAACTGTATACTTTTTAGAATTTTACTCATTTTTAAATATGGAGTGGACGCTTAAAGAAGACCGTGTTGCAGTTATTGCGTTGCATCGTTGCGGTTACGCGCCAATTCAAATTTTTGACATACTGAAAAATTTGAATATAACCAAAAGATTCGTTTATCGTACCATCAAACGATACAATGAAGGCTCTAGTGTAGATGACAGGTCGAGAAGTGGTCGCCCTCGGTCTGTTAGGACTCCAGCAGTGATAAAAGCTGTGAAGGCGCGAATTCAAAGAAATCCCAAACGTAAGCAGAAACTGTTGGCCCTTCAGATGGGGTTAAGCAGAACCACGGTGAAAAAGGTGTTAAATGAAGACTTAGGGCTTCGGGCATACCGAAGAAAAACAGGACATCGTTTGAATGCTCGTCTAATGGACCTGAGACTGAAGAGATGCCGCGCTTTGTTGAAGCGGTACGCGGGAAAAAATATCGGGAAATTCTTTTTTGGGATGAAAAAATTTTTACCGTAGAAGAGAGCTACAACAAACAAAATGATAAGGTGTACGCACACAGTAGTGAAGAAGCGAGCAACCGTATTCCGTGTGTCCTTCTCCGTATCCGCGGGTCATTTTCAATCCTCGCTCATGGTATGGTTGGGAGTTTCTTATTGGGGCTTAACAGAGGTACATTTTTGTGAGAAAGGTGTAAAAACGAATGAAGTTGTGTATCAAAATACAGTCCTGACCAACCTTGTGGAACCTATTTCTCATACCATGTTCAATAACAGGCATTGGGTATTCCAACAAGATTCGGCGCCAGCTCATAGAGCGAAGAGCACACAAGACTGGCTGGCGGCGCGTGAAATCGACTTCATCCGGCACGAAGACTGGCCCTCCTCCAGTCCAGATTTGAATCCATTAGATTACAAGATATGGCAACACTTGGAGGAAAAGGCGTGCTCAAAGCCTCATCCCAATTTGGAGTCACTCAAGACATTCTTGATTAAGGCAGCCGCCGATATTGACATTGACCTCGTTCGTGCTGCGATAAACGACTGGCCGCGCAGATTGAAGGCCTGTATTCAAAATCACGGAGGTCATTTTGAATAAACTTTAGTAGCATAAGAATCTATGTTTTGTTAAGTTCATTTTGGTATATAAATGGTTACATAATGAATAAACTTGCTTCAATTATTTTATATGAAACGTGTGACAGAATTTATGACCTGACTAGGTAGTATGATAATTTAAGATTTTAGTTTTAGTTTTTTTTATTAAGTTAATAATATTGCATATATTTGGATGTCATGGAAATTAAATGATACTAAATTTATAATATAAATGAGTTGAGTCCGATTAAGTTTACGAATAACTATAAATTCTGTTATTTTGCTATCGTACAGGCCTGAAACCGGGTGAAGTGAACATTGTTCTGACGGGCGGCAGTGACTACACGTCGGAACCGTCGCCGAAGCACCAGCACACACAGATCCAAACAAAAGCACAACCAAAACCACTCACACGACCGCATTTGCCGTCACCACAGCCCGTCTACAAGATACAGAGCCTCGCTAACCGTACAGATGTCAATGCGGCTAGCGGGTAAGTTTATGTTGTGTATTAGTTTGCTTAAAACAATCCAATATACAACTAATTTAAAATTAAATTATACGTATCAAAGCGATTATTGCCAGTAGATCACTTCACACAATACAATAAACAAACTGAACTTATAAAATAACGACCAAGTGAATGTGTGTATAAGGTTGTTCCACAAGGTTCTGAATTTCATTGGTATTTCCTTAACATAAACTATCACAGTCATTGGCTCTCCAAAACCAATATCAATCTAACATTTGACTAGTGTGTTATGTGTTTGACTTCACTTTGAACTTTGGCTACTCTTTGAAAAATAACCCTTTATGTCCTCGAAGTGTTTAATGTCTCTCAGCTCATATTCGACATTTTCTTTCAATTCCGAATTGGTGGTAAATGTGATTATTCCGTAGTGAATTAAACCAGGATGACAAATTCCGTCGGAAATATCAACTAGGAAAGGAACAATATAGTTTACACTTACACATCCTAGTCTATCATTGTAGTTTATTTTTTTAGAATTAGGATGTCGAACGAGCACTGTCCATTTGATAGTAAGTGAATGCTGTGGCACATAGACACCTACATCTATTAAATTACAGATTAAGAATGAAAATGCAGAAGCATTGTCACCCCTGACGACTTAGATGGAATGCTTCGTTTTTCTTTACACTCACCATACGAAACACAGCAGCATTAAGCTGCTAATTTACGCTGATATTCTGTGAAAGCGTGATCCTTTCCCGGTAAGCATTGCTCTAATACGTTTATAAAGTAAGTCCGCCAATGCATACAGTGGTATAGTTAAAAATGACGGAAGATATAAATTAAAAAATTATTTGCAGTTATGATGAGGCGTATATGGATATGTACGGCGCGTCGGATCGTCTGCAATATGGCGACTGTTTCGCTGACAACGCAACCGCGAACGTCGAGGTGAATATCGCGGTGAACGCAACTGAGAGCATGGAGACAACTAAGCCGGAAACACGTACGAGTACATTGGATGCGAGGATAGATCACGCTCTCAAGACTACTGGTGAGTAGTAAAATATTAGGGAGGAGATTTCCTACTTTTCCTATATTCGACTATGTGAAATGTCAGCTTCATCTCATGCCATCCAATTGTTGTAGCAATCTCGTATGTACTATATGTAAAATACCATTACGAGTGACTGTATTTCTATATCTATATGTAGTGTATTTTTGGCTTTCTGAGCATATCATTTTTGGTCTTTCTAGTGGCTCTCCACACCTTTCAAAGAAGAACATTGCAGTGAATGATCTGCTTGCAGCTTGACGGCACTTCTAATGATTGATATTGCGATATTTCTTTAGTTCTAGGCGAGGTGGCGAAGGAAGCGGAAGAAGCGGAAGCGGAAGCGGAAAAGGAAGCCCCTGAAAAAGGCATCCTCATTATGTAAGTATAGATCAATTTAAATTTGTTTCTTTCATTGTATAAGCACTTTCTTTATAACCAACCTAAGTAACTAAGTAGTGTAGCAGTACTAGTATTGTAGGAGATTTGAAAAAGGAAGACATTCTCTACTACACTATAGACCTGTGCCCATTAGTTGAACGTTTATACGTCTAGTCTAAAGAAACAGCCTATATATGTCCCACTGCTCAACACAAGCCTTGTCCTTTTCCAGACAGGACTGTAGATAACCACTATAACCTATGGAGTTAGCTAATTTGCCTTTCCACGATCGTTTACGCTAATAGAAATATAATGATACCGGCAAAGTGCGAGTCGTACTCACGCATGAATGGTTCCGTACCATTGTAAAACACGTTTCTAGTAGGGGCGGAGCCCCCTTTAATTTTTGACTTATTTTCATTATTTGTTGTTATAGCGGCAACACAAATACACATTCTGTGAAAATTTCAACTGTCTAATTTTTATGGATCATGAGATACAACCCGCTGACAGACGAACGGACGGACAGACGGACAGCGGAGGATTAGTAACGTACGGATTCTCAAAAATGAACAATATTAACTGTCGATGAGTGTTGAAGATTTTGGAATGTCTACTTTGCTAACCCCACAGAGCTACCACGGCTCACACGGCTTGCAGTATTTCTTAAATAATTTTGAAGATTTCATAAAATGGTATTGACTTTTCCCCACTTCCCTTTGTTACAAAAGGTCAGGAGCTCCTAGCGAATCGGGACGCGGATCGAAACGCGTAAGTTTCGCTGACGGATACAAACCCGGACAAGACTCTGACGTGGAAGAACCGCCTGTTAAAAAGGTCAGTATTAAAAGTAGATTCGCGAGTGGAATGCTGTGAATAAATATTTTATTTATTTTATTTATTTATTCTTTATTGCATTCCTTAAAACAAAAGAATACAAAGGGCGGACTTAATGCCTTGAGGCATTCTCTACCAGTCAACCCATGGAGTGGTGAGAATTTGACGTAGGTGCGACAATATAGAATAAAATAACAGTACACAAAATAATAATTAACTACATAATACGTACAATTTACTAATAAATAAACTATACATATATGACGTATACAAACATATATACAAATATATACATACAAATATACATACAAATATACATATTTAAATACATATTTAAATACATAATATATAATTAGTACATACAAATACCTATGAATATATGCGTCTGTTTAGCAATACATATCAAATGGATGAATCAAGTAAAATGCTTTGTCTTCAATAGATGGTTACGGACCAATTTTTTAAAAACATACTTGTTGGATGTTTTTCTGATGTCATCGGGCAAGGAGTTCCAAAGGCGTGTAGCCTGAACTGTGAAGGAGTTGCCATAGTACTCGGTGAAGTGAACAGGAATACAGATTTTGTTGTTAGAAGAAGAACGTAGGACCCTATCATGAGATGAGGTGAGATAGTGAAATTTACTCTTAAGATAAGAAGGCGAAGATGGGTCATTTAAAATGGAAAAAAGAACAAGCAATATTCTGGAATTGCGCCTCTGACGGATTGTAAGTCAATTTAGCTTAGATCTATATTGCGAAATATGGTCATACTTACGAAGCCCGAAAATAAATCGTATACAGTTGTTAAGAAGGCGTTCCAGTTTGTTCAGAAGATCTTGGGACAGATCTGGGTAACACACATCTGCATAATCAATTATGGGTAATATGAGCGAATGGACAAGCATGATTTTAGTTTTTATGGGAAGAAAATGTTTTAGACGATACAGAGAGCATAAAGTGGCAATGACTTTACGACTCACTTCTGAAACCTGGGTTCTCCAATTCAACGTGCTGTCGATATGTAGGCCAAGATTTTTAACAGAATTACTGAACGGAATTATAATACTATCATAATAAATAGGAGGTAAATCTGCCAGATTAATCTTAGCTAGCATTCTTGAGCTACCCAGTAGTATAGCTTGGCATTTCAAAGGATTGACCAAAACTCCATAACGAGTAGACCAATCTTTGATAGCTGATAAGTTGTCGTTAAGTTTTTTGATCCCATTATGTATATCCTCAAATTCAGTTTGCACATAAAGCTGAAGGTCATCGGCGTACAAATGATACGAGCAGTCGAGGATGGAGGTAATAAAGTTTATGAAAATTGAAAATATTATAGGAGAAAGAATACCGCCTTGCGGCACACCAGCATCCACATCAGCCCAAGCTGAGGACATTTGCCCCACACAGACTGACTGCTGTCGACCGCGAAGATAAGATGCAAACCATTCCAAAGCAGTAGGACCAAAATTCAGGTGAGATAGTATGGAAAGGAGGATTTCATGATCAACTGTGTTGAAAGCATTTGAGAAATCAACTAGTACCAGTACTGTTATCTTTTTTTCTTCCATACCTTGTCTAATATTATCAGTAACATTAATTAAAGCAGTAGTGGTACTATGACCAGGGCGAAACCCAGACTGAAATATACTCAGTAGGTTATTTTTCGAAATAAAAGTAGAGATTTGCTTGTAAACACAGGATTCTAAAATTTTGGAAAGAAAGGGTAGAATGGATATCGGGCGAAAATGATTGGGAAGAATGGGAGTAGGAACTTTTGGGAGAGGCTTTATAAAAGCCCTCTTCCAAAGATTAGGGTACTGACATGAATCAAGGGAAAAATTGATGATATGGGAAATTGCAGGAAGAAGGTGCTCTAGTATAAATACTACCATATGTCTACTAATCTCATCATAACCCACCGCCTTGGATTGGATTGCTAAAATAGACTTTTTGACATCATCCTGAGAAACAGGAGAAAAATTAAAGGTAGGAATGTTAGGAGTTTGCATAGAAGCAATGGATGTCATAGTTTGGGAGCGAATTGTAGGGTCCAATGCTTTTACAGAAGCGAAATGTTGGTTGATTTCATCGAGTGATAGAGAAGGACCACAATCCAATGTAGCTGGCCTGCAAAGACCAAAAGATCTTAGAAATTTCCACACTACGGCTGGTGAAGAGTTATTAATACAATTATGGAAATATCGGCGTTTAGCTGCACGTACCATCTGATTACACCTATTCCTGGCTGCTTTAAAAGATAACCAATTTTCTTCAGTACGATCTCTCTTGAAACAAAGAAAAGCTCGATTTCGTCTAGTCATTGCCAACCTTACGTCCTCCGTCATCCATGGAGCAGGCGGACGCTTCAATCTGACCTTATGAACTGGAGCATGAGCATCATAGAGGCTGAGAACATTGTGGTTAAGAATCAAGACTTTATCGTCAACAGTAGGTGCTGCAATTAAAGAGGCTAGATCGAGATTAAGAGCGTCATTCTTTAGTTTATCAAAGTCTATTTTAGAAAAGCTGCGAAGATGCATTACAGTAGGTGAATATTTGGGTGGTTTAAGCTTATACGAAGTATAAATCAAGTCATGGCGTGAGATACCCAAAGCGGGTAACTGACCGTGCATCATCACACGTTCAGGAGAAGCAGCAAGGATTAAATCAATCAATGAGTCATCGGTTCCGATATTATGATGAGTAGCCTTTAAAGGGAGAATAGAAAGATTAACCGACTCAATAATTGAAAGAAGCTTTTTGGAACGAGGGCAGCTTTTCAACAGATCTGTATTAAAGTCACCCATGATTATACAGTGTGTATACTCAGAACAAATATCAGTGAGAGCCATATCTAAAGTGGCGAAGTAGTCAGTCGAAGGGGGGCAATACACTACCCCTAGAAGCATCCTGATGCCCTTGACATCGAGTTCCACAAATAAAAACTCAGAAGTAGCAGAATAGCAGGAAGGAGATGTTAGAACAACTTTGTGAGGAATTGATGCGTGTAGGTAGATGGCTACACCACCTCCACCTTTTCCAACACGATCATTTCTAACGAGTACAAAGCCAGGAAGGGGATATAAAGTTGACGGTAAAGTAGGCTTCAGCCAACTTTCTGACACTAATATGGCATGAATATACTCGGGGGAAAATGAAGCTTCAAGTTCGGAATAGTGGCTCGGGATACTTTGAGCGTTAATATGGCATATGTTCAGAGAGTTGTTAAAATATGTACAAACTCCTTTGAGTAGTTCATGTAAATTAAGAACGCTATCATTGAAAGAATCATCACAAGAGTGAAAAGATAAATTAGAAGATTCATTTGCAGAGCTAAACAGTTCAACATCAGACATAGTTTATGGACTAAAATAAAAATAAATTAAATAAATATAAAAAAATTAAAATAAATACACAAAAAAAAACTTAGGAATGTACACTTAAGACTAATTTATAAACTAACACTTACTAAACATAAACATCACCAACCCATCAGTTCACTGTTTACAGAGTAAACTTAATAAAATAAATTTTATATGCAAACATAGGATCTATAATATCTAAAGTGGCAAAGATACTCTTATCTAGTAATAATGTTAATATTTCTAAGTAGGTGTCACACAAATAGTACAAGAGAATGTTTACCAAAAGAAAATCGATTGTCAAAGTAAAAAAAAAAAACGACATTGGCTGAATGACACATGTGTCCTTTGTCTATCAAAGGCTAAAAAAAATGTTATTGTCAAAATCAAAACTCATAAAAATCAAATTGAAAATAATAATATGTGGTAGGTACATGTGCAAAACAAGTATTATTACCAATATATGTACCCAGCATAGTATAAACCAAACAAAGATAATGTAATGTAAATAATAAATAAAATATCTTTGAAACCAACCTATTGAGTAAGACACCTCAACTAAGAAACAAAAGAAAACTAAACGCAAGAAGTTGTGTACTACATGATTAAAATCTTATTAAATATTAATATAGAAAAACAAAACATCATATGGAGATTATAATATTATTAGACAAAAAAAAACTAATTTAAAAAAAAAGCAATAATACTGCTATTAAAAGGCAAACAACTTATGATTACAGACAATATTGTTCTGTGCTATAGACATAACAACCATGAAGATGCGGGTCTACAAATAATTAATATGTAAATTAACGAGAATACGAGAAAAAATAATTAAAATAAAGGATACCTAGGAATATCATAATATGTGAAATTAAGCAAGCTATTTTTTGGCTACTAAACGACGGGACCTTTTAGGATCCTCTTTCTGCCCCACTATACCATCTTGATTGCGTCGAGAAATCTCAGACAGAATTTTTGTGCTTGAAGAACTATGCTGTGCTTGAATGGGTTTCTTTTCAGCATTAGTAATACCGCTGTTAGAACCTATGCCAAGACTTGCCGGTGAACAATCAACAGGAAACTTTTCAGCGAGAGTATCAATCTCCTCTTCAGTGGAGATCTTTGCCCGTTCATTATTGGGGAGTTTGATAAAAATTACGCCATCTAAGGTCCACACATTCTTCATTTCAAAATGCTTGCGTGCTTTTTTAAGAACAGATTGCCTCATTTTAGTTAAAAACTCAGAAACAGATATTTGAGAGCCCTTTAACTTAGTTTTAGCTTTCCACACCTCAGACTTTGTGCGATGCTCTTGAAATTGTACAAGAATTGGACGTGAATGACCATCCTTTTGAGCACCAATTCGATGGCAACGTAATAAGGACCCATTTGTTACATGTGGGATACCCATTGTCTTATGTATGATGCCCAGAATTTCTTGTTCCATATTAACTTCTGGAGAGTCAGTGATCCCATTAAATAGAAGAATGTTCTGCCTGTGCTGCATATCAATAGCATCAATTGACTTAGTGCAAGCATGAATCTGTTGCCGAAGGAGATTGAGAATGGAACAGACAAGGTCCTTGAATTCATAAAACTCCTCACGGAGTTGATTAAGTGAGGGATTTGT